AACTGAAAGAATAGGAAATAACTTAATTAATTTAGCATAAGGTCCCCTTTGTAACGTTGGCTTCGGTACACATCAGTTTTTCAAGAATCATAAATGTAAATGTGCTTTAGGAAAAAGGGGGGATCGGTAAGGCTAAGTTTTGCAAATTAGCTGATAAACCAACTATTGTCTAATACGCTAGTTGTTAGCCGATAAACTAGTCACGTTTGGCAAAAACTAAGTGCTAAGCTAGATGACTACGTAAATTGACTAAAAAGGACATGTTGAAAAATTAATTGAAAACATATTGGGGCATAATTGAAAAAAAGCCCTTGGAGATTATTGAAAGGCTAATTCAATAACCTATCTTATAAGCTACTTTATGGCTTACCAAATGGGACTTTTTCAATAAGCTTCGAAAATAAGTTGGCTTACAGTTGCCAAACATGGCCTAAACCCTTCCAGTGCCCACCCCACCACCAGAATACATTATGCCCCTAAGTTCGTATAGGAATCAGGATTGGTAGGTTTTTAATCCATGTGCTGACAGAAAGGAATACAAATCCATTGAGTTTCATCTTCTATAGTTCTATGTACTACTAATTTTTTTTCTGGTGTTATATTTTCAACAAAGATTTCAATTCCAAATCTTACTACCCAAATACACATGTTTGTATCAGAACAAGACATGAACAAAATAATAGTCAGAGGCGAGTCACACACCTCCATCCCAAGGGGTGTCATCCGGCCTGCAATGCAAATAAAGCTAATCAGTAAGAAAAATGTCAGAAAATAGAGTTATAGAATGAGAAAAAGTGCAGCAAAACAATGATTAAGACGTGATTAAACACTGTCCTTAGGATATTATTGACCCCCACTGTCAAGGTTGTTCGGGTTAAGTCTAATACACCCTGGGATTACCTAATTAATTACATATGTTCAACAGCAAAACATATCTTCAATGAATCATTTCTGCAGAAATATGTATGAAGAAAAAAGGAGAGGATTAAGAGAGATTAATTAAAATGATGCGAGAACACACGTATATAGGTTTGTTTGCTATCTTTTGACTGTTTGATATATATGTGTAAAGTTCACACAAGGCTAAATCTTCCTTAGCTCATCTAATCCCTTAAACAATCCAATAAGATGTTTAGAGCTTATAAACAGAAGATTATACCACTCTTCCTATGTGGGACAAGTGATATGTATAGAGCTCAAAATACAAGTATGATTCCACTTTACTTTCCATGTGGGACAAGACTGTATATACAACAAAAAATTCATCTAACCTGGAGAAGAAAACATCATTTCACACTATCGAGCACAGACAAACCACCATTAATTCACACTTACCCAAATATGACGGCATTCCAGAGCATAATATTGTTATCATAAGGTGCACCACTGATTCCAGCCGGAGGATCCTGCTGCAACCTCTTAAAATCCCTCATTAACCTCTTCCTCGCCGGCGTCGACATCCTTGCCGCCTATTATAAACAACAATACACTTCGGAATTCAATCTACTAATCATCTATCTAGTATTCTAGTTCATCGCCAGACTGTCATTAAACAAAACAAAGAAAAAAACCAAGTGCCATTGATAAACTATTTGTCTTTGAACCCTAGATCTACAAAACAACATAAGAAGGTAAGAGGTTTTTAAGCAATAAAATAAGACATCAATCGATTCTAGGGCTCCGTTGATTTATTATAGTCGCGTGATGATTAGATGGATAGTTGAAAAAGGATTGAAAATCATTGTTGCCTGGAAAGTTTAGCTGCCGGAAAAGCGGTGATTGAAGTGAATCGGAAGATGATCAGCCGTCGGTGACGGTGGTGATGTCTGCCGTCCGGTGGTCGCCCTTCAAAACCCAGAACTCTTGAACACAAGAGGACGAACCGTCGAAGCTTCGACTTGGCGTCACATGTGAGCCACTGATTGTATTCATTTCTATCGTTAATTCGTCATGTTTTTCTCAACCAGAACGTCGTCGCATTGATAGATGTACCTCATGCATATATATTTGTACTTGAGACTGGATTTTATTTTTTTATAATAAGATTATTTAAAACATGGACAATATGGTCATTTTAACAGTTTTGTTATGTCCTTTCGGAACATTATTCTTATTTGTCAAAATGTTTAGAAACTAAAGAGACGAAAAATGTTATTTTCGACAACCCGCATGTACTAAATTTATACTTTGCTCAAAACATCTATACTATATTATAAAACGTTTAACAAAAACTCTTAAAACTATTTTTTATGCATGAAGTACTGTTTATTTATGTATATTATTTAAAATTCAAGATTACAAGTAATTTGTGTGTAAGTATAACTTATTAAAGATTCATGTTTGAATTCGTGTGACAATTAGCAGATAAACATAATCAAATAGAGGATAAACATCTCATTTTAGATATAAAAAATCTAAAATAAAATTAAGATAATCATTGAGTTTTAACAAAATATTTAATTATTATTTTATAAAAAATTATATTATTAAATAAAAATTAAAAAAATACTAAAAAAAATTTAAATAGTTAATAATATCAATATTTTTTTCAAATTTGTATGATATATCTTCTATTTATGTTTTATTCAAAAATGGAAACAGTATCGCTTTCTTAAAACCACGTAAAAATGTATTATAACATCGATAGAGACAAAAAAACGAAACATTAAAATCGAGATGCATCTCGCTGCATTGTGCTACTGCTGCTACTACTACTGCTGCTAATTGAAAATATGTGGAGCTTTGAGGGGTGCAATAAGCTAGAAAATGCTGACAATGTTTGGACAAATATGCAGTCCTGGTAAAAAGACACTGTTATGATATATGGATTTTTATTACACTTATCGGATTTCATATTTCAAGTGTTTTTCAATTTTAAAAAAATAAACAGTATTATTGATTCAGATTTCAAACTTCAACATCACCTCCTATAAGTCATAAGCGAGATGAGATTTTAGACTTCAACACATCTTGAAAACAAACGTCATCTTAGACTTGTATGTCTAAAAGAAATTTATAATTTACTTTTAGTTGTGAAATTTAACATACTGTAATTTTTTTCGTGTCGCTTTTGCGTTCAGATATAACAAACGGTGAACGAGGATCTATATCCTTAACGGGTTCCCTCCAATGAAGATTAGGGAAACGAAGGGCCCAACTAGGAATACCCGATAAGATCCCCGACTAGAACTAGGGTGGTTACGGGATGGTTTTTGTTATCGATTTCGGGATGAAGATACCAATAACCCACCCGAATCCGACCCGTAATGCATATGGGTAAGGCCCAATTATATAAACCACGTAATCAAACACCTACCAAGCATCTGAATCTTGATTTGACCCGAAAACAAAAATATCCATCTCACAATATCCACTTCCTTCTCAACCTCGCAATTCAATCTTCTCCATCTTCCATTGTTAGGGTTCGTCGAAGGGGGATTATAATCGAATCGAATTGAATTGAATTGAATTTGATTCTTCATATTTAGATCACTTTCAATCAATCAAGATGTACGGATTCGAAGCTATGACCTTCAACATTCATGGTGGTTACCTCGAAGCGATCGTCAGAGGCCACAGATCTGGTTTGTTGACCGCTGCGGATTACAACAATCTTTGTCAGTGTGAAACCCTTGATGACATCAAGATGCATCTATCTGCCACCGAATACGGGCCTTATCTTCAAAACGGTATATAGATTACTTCGTTTATTTATGGATTTCACATGTTGTGTTGATTCGTTTTGGGATTGATTTGAGTGGCTTAGTGGATTTTTTCAGTGATTTAGTGAAGAAGTTGCCTCTCACTGTACTTGGATAGATCAGTTATTGGGTTAATGCAACTGTGATCAATTTTATACCATTCGTAATAATTTGATTTGTCTGTGAGCTTAGTTTGTGCTAAGAACGCAGATCAGATCACTGTTAACTGTAGTTTGGTAGAGAGTGAAGTTGCTGTGCTAAATTAAATGCTTAGTTATAAAGGAACTGGTACAGCTTGCTCTACCACGATTCTGTGTCGATGGTTGATCTTTTGGACCAGGTTGCGAAATTGCAGGAGAGTCTAGATGGATACCCCTTCAGTATGTTTCTTTCTTGACATGAATCAACTTTTTGTTTAAAATATGAATATAAAGGAAGTCATAAAGATAAATATTCATCACCAAATATCTCTCATTGTTCCGTTTGAATAGATTTTACTTGACATTTTATCATGTGTGGAGTGATGTAGGAACTATGTTTTGAAAGTCTAATTTGGTTTTCAAAAAAGTGATGATGGTTAAATCAAAATGTGGAGTTGTTTTCGAACTTCATTCAACATACGAGAATAAGATTTTTTAGAAAAATAAGATGTTAGTTTTGTTTAAAAAAGTATAAGAAGAACATGTGGCCCAATTAGTTTGGGATAAAGCTGGAAGGAGCATCATTTGGTTTTTATATTTTAAGTAGATGTAATTTGCATGAATGTCTAGATTTCTCCCTTTGGACTGATTTAGGATGGCAAATTCTTGGTTTGCCCTTTACTGATCTTGTTTGTGGTGATTTTTCTTGCAGAGCCTTCACCGTTGCATACAACTACAATTGTAGAGAAATGCACCCTTAAGTTGGTTGATGAGTATAAGCACATGCTATGCCAAGCCACTGAGCCTATGTCAACCTTCTTAGAGTATATAACGTATGTAGAGTTTTTTATCTTTCTAAAGATGCACTTATCTATAACTGTGATATATGCGTAGATTATTTTGTCCTTCTAAAGATGCCGTTTTGCTATAATCTGTATGTTACAAGTATTATTGCATTTTCATCTCCATTTTTTATCATGATAGGGGTGCTTATTGGGCCCAAATTGTCTGCTGAGTTTGTGGTAGCCGCCTTGATTGTAATTTAAGGTCATTGAATGGTACGTAATTTCAGCTGGGTGGACCACTTGGTCTAGGTGTCGTGTGAATGGTGAAGATCTTGGCATTGACATTACTCAGAAACTTTCCCTGTCCTTTCCTTTGTTACCCATGAATTTGATTTTCAGCGAGATGTACAGTAATTGCATGCACTTTATATTTGTTGCATTTCCTACTTTCTTTTCAAATTGCTTTCAAATTCACCTCTGTTTAGCAAGAGCTTCTAGCAGCTGGCTTTGAGGTGAAACCGTGTTCAGGACCCACCAAGGTTTGTAAAGACTGAAACATAGTTGCCTTTTGACTTGTAATTAAAGATTTTTAAATGAAAATTAAACAGAATTTATCTATGGAAACCCAAAAATACTTTCTTTTCAAAATGCATTCTGGCTGAAAATTACTTCCTTTTCAAATTGTCTTCTGGTTTACAGAAAATTTCTCAAAATCATGGAAACTCAACAAGAACATATTGTCCTATGAATACACATTTACTCAAAGAGACACCATTCAGATATAGTATGAAATTGTGGCACCATTTCTAGGCAGGGAGAAAAAGAGGGGTGGTGGTTGATGGGTGGTAAATCCCATTCTCTTCCTTAACTCAGAGTTGCTTACGAACAGCCCAGGATATCAATATATATATATATATATATAATATGTATTTGGTGAACAATAATTTACCCGCTGTTTAAATAGCAGTAGAGCTATGAGAAAAGTCATCTCTACTCCCTTTATTCACAAGTCAGGAACAGAGTGGTCACATGTACTATTGAGGAATCAGGAATGAGAGGCTTTCAGTTTCCATTTTGTCTATTCAACATTAATTCTTAAACAGCAAGAACAGGAAAGAAAATTGATCAAGTAAATTGACTGGGCCTACAATTTTTGCTGGCTTCTCAGATACGGTCACATGATTGACAATGTGGTCCTGATTGTTACTGGAACCTTGCATGAGAGAGATGTTCAGGAACTGCTAGAGAAATGCCACCCTTTGGGAATGTTTGATAGGTAATTTCTCTCAAAACTTTGTCCGACTTGTGCTGCAATTGATAACAAGGTAACATTTCTCTGTTTGTTTCTTCAGTATTGCTACCCTGGCAGTTGCTCAGAATATGCGTGAGCTTTATAGACTGGTGCTCGTGGACACACCACTTGCTCCTTACTTCTCCGAGTGCATCACGTCAGAGGTATATGCTTCTTTAGCATTAGGGGATGTTTACTAAGTACTTATAGCCTCTTACCATGTAAGTAGTGCTTACCGGTAAGAGATAATGTTGTTTACCATCGTCTTCTGATCAACAAATGTTGCTGACCGAGATGTTGCCCTGGTAAGAGTGGAAAGGCTTACTTACCCGGTAGAGCATCTTACTCAATTCTTTTAGTAATGTAGGGCTTTGCAATGAAGTGCCTGTTTTTTTTTTTTTTTTTTTTTTTTTTTTTTTGTAACTTTAATTTCTTCCTACCTTGTTTTTAATCATCAAAGCAAGTAGAATAGGCTGAAGACACGGTCATCTTTGTTGTTTATGCATTTAATTTGTAGATTGTAAGTCTTCATGCTATTGGAAATCAAACTTTTTAGCATAGCTGTAAATATTTGACATTGAGTTTTTTCTCCTAACATCCAACAAACAGCTTTCTGATGATTGTAAGTTTGTAATTACAGGCAGCAACATAGAAGTAGCTATTTATCTGTTCTGGCCCATACTGTTTAGTCAGATTTCATTAATTTGCATGCTGGTATTGTTTGGTTATTGCCTCATCTTTTATTCTAAAAGCCAATTCGTGTTATCTGTAGGATTTGGATGATATGAACATTGAGATTATGAGAAATACTCTTTACAAGGCATATCTTGAGGATTTCTACCGGTTTTGCCAGGTAAGCATTTGATGGTTATTGTGGAAGGGTTGGGTTCCAGTATGAAAGTTATGGTGAGAAGGGTAAGAAGGGATCTCCACCCTTGGATCAATCCTAATTGAAGATTAACACTAATGTGGTGCACCAGATCAATTCTCGTGATAAGCACAATTCATGGGGTGGGGGTGAGATTAAAAGTGATCAAGGATCCTGATCCCTTCTTACGCTTTTCACCTTAACTCCAATTCTCACACTATCCTTCGTCTATTGTTGGAATCTGCAAACATGTTTCCTCTATATCTTTTATTAACATGAATTTACATATAGAAATTAGGCGGTGCAACAGCTGAAATCATGTCTGATCTTCTAGCATTTGAGGCCGACAGGAGAGCTGTTAATATCACTATAAACAGGTGCTGCAACTATCTTACAACCTGTTCCTATATATTGGTGCTTTTGGTACATGGGGTATGACGATAAAAAAACTTGTCTCATGTTTGGCGCAACATTAGAATGGGACAGGACAAGACCTGAGTGGGACAAAATAGGTGGAACAAAACTCTGGAAGATGAGACAAGATTGATAAATTACTAAATTACCCATGTCAAATTAAAACTCTAAAACCTTCCACAATTCTTTCACCTGTCTACCTCACTCTCGCTTATCCAGTCCCGTCCTGTCCCCGTGTCCCATCAAGTCCTGCCCTTTTCAGTCGGTCTGCATACCAAACACGTTGATTTTAACTTATTAGTCTCTTGTCATTGTGGTTTGTATATGCAGCATTGGAACGGAGCTTACTCGAGATGATCGTAGGAAGTTGTATTCTAGTTTTGGTTTACTGTAAGTGAATGGAACTCTGCAGGGGTGCGCTAATCGGAGTTTTTTCTACGTTTCCTTATTAATTTTGTTTCTTTTTTGGCTTGAAATAGTTACCCCTATGGCCACGAGGAACTTGCTGTTTGTGAGGACATAGATCAGGTATGTCTTCTTCATTCCTATTTATACGTTAAAAGAAGAAAAAGAAGAAAAAGAAGAGTGAATATTTATTACTCTCTTTTTTATAATCTTTTTGGACAAATCTCGTCTCTACAAAGCTTTTTCCTAAGCTGGTGGTCTTCACATAAACAGCCTCTCTACCCTTTCGGATAGAGGAAAGGCAGAGACGGACCTAGAAATGTTTTCAAGTGGTGGCACCATTTGACTATAAGAAAAAAAATATAGGGATATTTTTTACAAATACATCATTGGTGTGTTGGTTAGCTCATTGCTTTTCATATGTTGGTCCTGTGTTCAAGTCCTTTATTGCAATTCTTTTAAGAAACATAATATATCTGAAATTAAAAGCTAAAAACTAAAAAAAATGACGTTAATGGGATTCGAACTCGGGTGGGGGTGGAAGAAAAGTCTTGCAAACCAACTCTACTAAGGAAACTTGTGTCCTCACTGTAGTTTCAAAATATATACAGTGGCACACAACAAATTGATACGGTAGCACTTTTTACGATCGTGTACTGTAATTTTTTACACTATGAGGGAGGAACGAAGCGGTGACCCGTGCCACCGTATCCAATACACTAGATCCGTTCCTGATGAAAGGTCTGTATATATCCTACCTTTATAGACCCCACTTTAGAGTCGGATATACCGTGTATCTTTGTTTTGATTACTCTCTCTCATCCTCCTAGAAGGATTGAAAAGGAAATTGCTTTCTCGGCTCTAAGGTTATCGTTCTCAACGAGTTTATGTGTCTCTTAAACCACTAATGTAGGTGCGTGGTGTGATGGAGAAATACCCTCCTTACCAGCCAATATTCTCCAAATTATCCTATGGAGAGAGCCAGATGCTCGATAAGGCATTCTATGAAGAGGAGGTGAAGCGACTCTGCTTATCTTTCGAGCAGCAGGTTTGTGCTTGCAAATCGTCTTTTATTAAATCCCGTAACTACAATTACTATATTTCGTAATCGGTTTTTGGTGAAAGACAAATCTTCAATTACTTATACAAAAAAGCATACCGTAGTTGAATTCCTGAACACTCTCTACCCCTTGGGTTAGAGGCAAAGTCTGCCTTCGATCCATTCTACTCCCATACCCTACCTACCAATTAGAGCATCTCCAACAGATTCTCCAAAATAGAGAAAATGAAGACTTGGAGATTTTAATCATTTTCTTTGCTCCACCAAATTCACCAAAATGGAGAAAGGGGGGAGGAGAACTTTTCAAAATTGAAAGTCGAAGAGAAATAAGAGCATCTCCAACAGATTCTCCAAAACATAGATTTTGGGGTCTTTTTTGCTCCAACAGATTCTCCAAAACCTTTCCAAAATTGAAATATGGAGAACTCCCTGAAAATGATTGTTTAGGTGTGAAAAATGATATTTTATTATTCCCACCAAGTCTTTGAAACTAAATGTCTAGGAGGGAGAAATAATATATTATTACATGTATTTATTATTTTAATACTTCCTCCGTCCCAAAATAAATGTCTATATTTCTATTTGTCCCAAAATAAGTGTCCACTTTCAAAAGCAAGCAACCAAATTCTCAAATTTACCCTTAATTAATGCACAAATATTTAGGAGTTGTGAAGAGAGAGATGAAATAAGGGTAAAGATGTCATTTGGTTAACAAAAAAGTATAGTAATTATGCATGCCTAAAACTGTGTGTCATTTCAATTGTGAACACTTATTTTGGGACAGAAGAAGTAATGTATTTAATGTTGTAATATCTAAAACGAAGAACTTATTGGAATTGAATGCAATTTTTTTTGAAGATTTTGATTTTTGACTCCATTTTAAAGACGTTTTTGGAGAAGCTGATGGAGATGCTCATAGTTCTTAAAAGCGAGCCTAGGCTCTAAGGCTCAAGTTCTTGGGTACTCAAGAAGCTCACTAAGGCGTTGCACCTTGGTTGAGCCGTGTTGTGGGCCTAGGTGCACCTCATAAATAGTCAACGAATATGTAGTCAAACCCTAATATTAAATAATATAATATGTTAAAATCTTCAAAATAGAAAAACTTTTAAATAGTTGAATCTAATTTATTTTCTAAGATTTCAACTTTCACTTCTCCATTTCCGAAGAAATTATAGAAAATCAGGTGATCCCGTTAGTTTCATTTGGTTGAATTACTGAAAACTTGCGTGGATGTGCAGTTTCACTACGGCGTGTTCTTCGCATACATGCGACTCCGAGAGCAGGAGATCAGAAACTTGATGTGGATATCGGAATGCGTTGCTCAGAACCAGAAATCCCGGGTTCATGACAGCGTCGTTTTCATATTTTAATTTGGCAACATTTTATGTATTATATAATATTCGATCATTTCATTTCATTCCTTTCCTCCAGAATGCTGCAAACTGGTTCGCAAAATAAGTGTTGATTTTTGTTGGTCAAAAAAGTTGTGTGTAGTTATAAACTGCTGCTTCTCTCAAGGTGAGCTTTCAATTTGTTAAGAGGATAATGTTATAAGCCATTTGTATGATTTCTTTCTCTCAAATAATGGTCAGAGTGTTGTATATGCTCCAATGTTTATGTTAGAATCGCAATTAGTCTTATTTCACTTCTGATTAATAAGAGGTGGTGCTGAAGTCTGAAATCTGAATCGAAAAGACTGTTTGTTTTTGTAAATTGATTACTGTTTGAATTTGTTTAAATCGTCTATTTTACTGATTAGAAAATTATAATGTTGAATTTATAGATAAATTTATATAATTTCAACATATTTATTCATTATCATTACGAAATTTGTATTTTAAATTATATAATTGGCATTCATTTAAATGAAAATATTGCCATTAATGGTATTTGACACATTCAAATCTTAGTAAAAAACATCAATTGAGATATGTGAGGATTGATTTGGTAATGATCAATTGAGAGAAATGATTGATTAAGAAACGTCGTTGCTAAAAGTTTCAAAAACAACAAGAGGCAAATAAGAGGTTGGTTTATCTCTTACCAGATAAGAGGATAATAAGATACAAGTGTCTCAGAAAATTTAGAAAAACGAACAGTCTGAATGACCATATCTCTTAACGAATCAGACGTAAGAGACTAATAAAAGCTTTTTTTTCAAAAAACAAACAAGACCCTAATTTCAATGTAACCGAATTTGGAGATTTCTACCATCTTTTATTCTTCTTCTTCTCTATATGTTATAGCACAACTGTTGGTGCAAAAATATATCCTAAATTTCTAAAATTTCTATTTTTGGCATGATCGTCGGAGATGCTCTAAGTTTTGATGTTGATATGTGTGAAGAGGAAAGTAGTAAATATGAGGTGTATTTAGCAATATATTGGGTACATTTAGTCTACTTTTCAAACAACGACCACCATAAACTGCATTGCTGCCACCACTACCTTTCTCTTACAATTTGGTGCTAGAGATGTACAAAACTCGAGCTTTTTCGTGTCTGGGCTCATGTCTCCCAAGCTCGTTTTCAGTGAGCAGAAAAAAGGTATGAGATTTTTTCACTTTAGGGTTGAAAAAAGGTTGAATCGTGTTTTTTTAGATGACCCGTCCTCAAAATTTCGGTCTGATCAGACTTTAGACATGGCGTGAACCGGAGTTTAGTCTTATTAGGCTGGATTTTTTTGGGCTGGGCTTAATTTGAGCATGGGCCAGGCTTTGGGCTTCTTTGTGCACATCTATTTGGTACAATTTTAATCATTCTTTTGTAGGGCAAAATGCACAAAATAACAATCTATTTTTATAAAAAAAATTATTATAGCATTGTACTTTCAGTTTTTCTTATTACAACAATGTACTTTCAAACTATTTTTTATTATGACATTGTACTTTGACAAATTTACCCATTATAGCATTGAGTAACCTTTTGACTTAAATTTACTCATTATATCAGGTTTCTATGCTACATCATTGTCTACATAGGCTATCCACATATACTATAGTAATGTGACTTTCTTACTACATCATTGTACTTTCAAAATTATTTCATTATAATATCTACTGGTTATTATTAAACATTATATTTTTAATTTTAGTATTTAAATATTGTACATGTTATTTAATAAATATATTAAATGAATTAAAAAAATTCTAAGTTATCCATTAATATACCAATATCAATAAAACTAGTAAAATACAACTTATCTCGCTAATATTTTTTAAAAACAAGTGTTTTTTGAAAAAATAAAAATAAGCATTGTTTTTTTTACCCAAAAATATTATCTTTTAAAAAATATATTATATTTGTTCAAAAACTTTTACTTGACGTATAAATATATATTAAATTAATTAAATTTTTTTGAATTATTTATTAATATAAAAATATTTACAAAAGTAGAACACAATTTATTTTGTTAATATTTTAGATAGAACTTTAAAATATATGTATTTATTTGAACAACATAAAATAAGAAGAGTTACTTTTTTTACAAACATGATATATCTCGAAAATAATGTTTCATATTTATTTAATAATTATTTTACTCTAAGAATATTTATTTACATGCAACTTAATAAGAAAAAGTCAAAAAAAAATGTTTTTTAGACTATAGCAATGAGAAATGAAAATCACTAATAATAATTTGAAAATGTTTTTAATTTTATTTTAGTTAAGTCATCAAAATGATGTGTCATCCACATCACCTCATTAAAGTCACACAAGCAAAAAAAGTCAAAGGGTTAACCGGTTTAAAAGATAATAGGTTACCCATTGCTATAGTGGGTAGATTTTTTTAAGTACGATGCCTTAATAAAAAATAATTTAAAAGTACATTGCTGTAATAAAGAAAAACAAAAGTATAATGCTATAATAAGAAAAATTATGAAAGTAAGTTGTTATTTCATGCATTTAACCCTTCCTTTGTATAACAAGCTTTCAAATCTTTTCAATTTGGTAGCAATTTATCTGAAAATTAAATAAATCTTAAGCAGACTTAAAGGTCGTTTATTTAACATGAATTGGATAAGCGTTTATCGGGTAAGATTCTTGGTCATCAGAATAGTGTAGTATAGACGTTTCTTATCCTGTAAGAGTCACCGTCCTTACTTACTGAGTAAGATCATCGATTATCAAAATGGCACAGTGATAATCATCCTCAGTTTTCTAGAGATGCCAATGTTTTTTTAGTAAAAATTATCGTTTGGCCTTAATCATAGAGTAAATTACAGATTCCGTCCCTGCGTAATACAAAAATTAAGTTTTCGTCCCTAGTTCGATATGTTAACTGTGCTAAACCCGCGATCTGATTGATTCGATTATGTTTCAGAATCTCACGATTTTTATATCCGAATGTAGTCGAGGAATCGAGCTGACACTCTAACCCTAGCCGAAACAATCGATTATCACACCGAAATCGTGTTAAACGTGTGATAATCGCCAAACGGGTATACATAACAAAACTGAAACGATAACGATAATATTTGTAATTATTTCGTTTAAAGGACGAAATGGTAATTTACTCTAACCAAAATATTTAATGAACTTATCAAAATAATTTAATATTTAAAAAACGTATGAAATAATACACATTTAGTTGGAATAAATTCAAACAAAACAACGTACATACATCTACGTCCTAAAATCAAACCCATCCTGAAATCTTCCGTCCGCCATGGCAGCAGCAGCAGCTCGAAAAGCTTTAGCACGGTTGTCCTACTTTGCATCCAAGAGCAGCACCGGCAACTTTTGTTAGAAGCGCGACATTCTCAGCTGGTTCCGCCGGAAGCAATGGATAACCTTTATATGATGCAGCCCAATTAGGATCTCCTGAATTAACAAAGAAAGCTCCGTTTTGCATCAGATCTCCTTCCGATCTCCATGTCCATTTCGACCATTCTTCTTCTGGTGCTTGCTTTCTGTAGGTTATTTCCTTGGCAGCACCGTCTTCTGCGACGAATCGGTTGCCCTGGCTGATGATGGTGGCGCCCTTGGCACCTCCGATCGCGTAGCTCTTCCACTGTGTGTAATCGTTGTTGACGACGTGAACGAATCCCCATCGCACCGCCGGTAATCGCTGTGTAAGTCCTTTTCCGAAATGGTTGTATGCGAGTGTGACGAACATGTTATCATCTGGTTGAACATCACTTGCACCAAATAGCAACGCCTGATTCAAATAATACAACCAGAAATCAGAATTGATTTCGTGAATCCATGAAAATTGGGGATCTACATCTGAATTTGGGGAATTTGTTGGGAAATTGACAAAAATAGTCCGTATTGGTCAATTTCCCTTTCATTTGAATGATTACCTTATCGTGTCTGACGAAATGGCAATTAGAAATGGTGATATTGGTGGATCGGGCGACGATATCGATAAGTCCATCGAATGTGCCGGCGAACGAGCAATGGTCGACCCAAATATCAGTGCTACCAAATATGCTAATGGCATCTCCGTCGCTTGCTCCTCGTATTCCGACATGATCAGCTGCCGATCTGATATTTCCACCCTTCCCCGGCACAATATCGTACATATGAATATCGAGGATAATGACGTTATGAATGAACTGCAACATGAATCCGGCACCGCCGGTGATGTGGACTTCTTGACCACGGCCGTCGATGGTTTTATCGCTAGCGAAAATGAGTTCCTCCATGAGTTTGATGTGCATATGGGAGTTGAAAATGATCCAAACGGGTTCGGGGAGGAGGACGGCATGGCGGAGGGTTCCCGGAGTCGGGTTTACCATGTCTTTGTCCGATGGGTCGGTGACGATGTAGATTTTTCCGGCTTTTCCACCGGTGGTGTTGTGACCGAAGCCTTCAACGCATTCGGCGATCTTTTGGCGGTTATCTGCCCATTTCGGGTCGCATCGCCAGCATTTGTCGATACGGTTATGGGCGACGCACGGCCCTTCGTGTTTCTTCCTCAGCCCCCTCCTGCTGTTGATGGTATGACTGAAACACACAAAATCAAACTTTTAAATCATACTCCATATACAATTTTTTCTTTTTAAGGAAATTTATCATAAATCAAATTCACTTTTCAGTCACATTTTAGACCAATCTTTCTAAAATAGTCCGTCTTTAGACCAATTTCATCACCCACTGAGGGCTTGTTTGTTTACCTCTTAATGGTTTCATTAAAAGGCAATCTCTGAATCGTTAAGAGGTGAATCTTGTTTGGTAAAAAAAAATTTGTCTCTTAATGGTTCTAAAACCCTCTGAATGATTTTGTATATAAGCCTCCCTTACCAATTAAAAACCCTAATTTCATTGTAAATAATCACCAACCAAATATATTTCATTTCGTACAACATCATGAGAGTCTCTTAATCATTCTTTACCACTTAATGATTCTGCATAAAACCATTCAACAACTGCCAAACAGCTCCTGACCTTCAAAAGCACTAAATTGTGAGCCTTTTGATACTAAAACTAAAAACCCCTCCAACAACACTGTAAAATTCCTCCCTTGCGAAACCCTCCTCGCACAAAGATTTGTCGGAGGTGAAAAAGTACACGCCATATTTGGTGTTTTAGCGTTTTTGCTTGTTGTTTTTTACCGGTCGGATGGAGGGTTTTGGCCGGCAAACATAAAGTTTTACTGGCCGGTTGGAGAAAAATCAACACGCATATCTGTAAGGATTCTTACGTAAAATATCTTTATAATGGTTCTCAGGTTTATATGGGATAGAGATGCTTTGAAAGATTAAAACTCATCTCAAAGGGTTTTTGGCCTAGCGGTATCGTGGTCTCTGGTCTCCTATGACATTAAAACCCATATTGAAGTCGTAAACATCATGATCGCATCTCTTGAATCAATTAATTTAATAGTTTATGAGGGTTCACGTTTTTATATTTTAGAGTTTTCGTCTAAACGTTGCTCTCTATGTGTGTGTACATTGGTTAAAGAAAACAGTGTGTTTACATATGCATCTTCATATGTGAATAATTTGGTAAAAGGGAGATGCAATCAAACATGAGTTCACATATGCATATTCAAGTGAATATATCTTCAGATGTACCAATAATTCACATATGAATAATTTAGGGGCTATTTACCAAACGCTTACCCGTGTGAGTGTTTACTAAGTCACATTACCTTACCAAATGCATATGGCAAGGACCAATAATATTGTCCGGTAAGATCGAAGACAAGAACTAAGAGTCTTATCTGGTAAATAAGGACGATGGTTCTTACCATGGTTAGCGCTCACCGGGTGAAATGTTGCATAGGTTACCTTTTTGGTGAACTAAAATCTTACCCGGTAAATAAGTGACAGTGTTGAATTTTGCTGGTGAGCACTACCCGGACAAACATTTGGTAAACGGCTCCTTATTCTTATTTTCTTAACATATTTGTCTTTCTTATTTGAACATTTCCGACCCCCCCCCCCCTACGTCTATACTCTTGTTTTATATGACGTTATGAATGTGTGAAGACGAAGACTGTAACGTTCATATCATATTTAAATGCACATTCTAACTTTTACACAGTATATGATACCCGTGTATCTTGATTTAGTTTCTATCGATTACAACGAAACAAAACAAGTAGAATTTAAAGACTCACTTGGAATCGGCCACGATAATTGTCGCAAAAATGAAACATACGACCAACACCGACTTGAATTTAGCCATCTCCATCTTTAATTACCTATAAATATTAAATAGAACAGATAAATAGTTGGATTAGCTAGTCAGGTCGGGTTGTAGTCGGATCTTGTTGTCAAGATCAGACTTTTATTAAACCGGCTAGCAAACCCTACAACTGTGTTGATTAATAAAATATTGGGTGATGGCTGGGGGGCTCAATCAAATGAAGAGATGTCGTTCAATTTATGGTACGACATCCCAAAACAAAAGGGAAATCGTGTGATGGCAGTTATTAACGTAAAATAACTAACATCAAGGAAAAATTTTGTGGAGTTGTCGTGAAAATCTGTAGGCGTACGGTAATAAGGAGAGAGAGAATACTGGTATTCCGTTCATATATTTCTATATTATCAGATCAATGACCAATTTTACGATACCAGAAAAGACGAAAATCTTGTAGATATTTCTCATAGTTTGTTGGGTTAATATTATTTCAAAGACAATAGGAAGATAAAATGTTGGTAATCCACCATTTCTTGTTTGATATTTTATTAATTAAAAAATGTTAATTTTTATTTTAATTAAAACGGTACCCGCGCAATGTAGCAAGATATATCTCGATTTCAATGTATCATTTTATTTTTTTGGTCTCTGTCAATGTTATAATACAAATTCTGTTCTATTCTCTTCTATCATATACTGTCTGAACACTAAAACAACAGTTTAAAAAGTATCCCAATTAATAGCATTTGACAATTGATATAGTTGGTGATTGATAATGGTTGATTGGGATTGTGGATTATGAGGATAAGGAAATGTGTATATTTTGACATAAACCATAAATTGGTGATAAGGTCAACTTCCAATTCTTGGTCAATCATCAAATAATTGGTGTAAATCTTGCCAATTTATGATAGATATTGAATCTTAGGAAACTGTTATTTTATTAAACAGTGAAAGTTTAAATAAGAAGGTTAAATATCGTGATAAGATAATAATATGAGATTAAATGAAATATTCACATGTGAATCATTGAAATTTTTTAGTTGAAGTTGCATATGTGAACCTATATGAATAATTTGTAATGTCGGTTCACATATGCATCTTTAAATTTATTTTTTTCTGGGTTTTTTCAATGATTCACATATGAATATTTTCTTAACCTCCATTTTTTTTTACCTTCTCATGATATTTAACGATTTTATCTGAATCAACCCTTATCAAATAAAACATATGCTACATACATTATGAAATATTGTATATCTGATACAGACGATTGTATGCAAATACGGAGGGGTGTAGACTTTACCAACAACTTTTGGATTTGTTGTTTATCAGATGAATTTAGCTTCTAATATTTAAGTTAAGGGGTGATTTGATTACTTCTTAATAGTTTCATTAAGAGGTAAATCTTGTTTGACAAAAAAAAAATTATGTCTCTTAATGGTTCCAAAACCCTTTAAATGATTTTGTATCATTAGTCTCTCTTAACCATTCAGCGCCCTAATTCCATTGTAAGCAATTACCGAACAATTATATTTCATTATGCACTATATCATAAGAGCCTATTAATCATTCTGACAACTTAATCATTATAGATCAAACCATTCAACAATTGTCAAAACAACCTCTTACTAAGAGTATTGCAAACAACAAATATACTATATTTTCTCTTTTTTGTTCTTCTACATTTAGAGATATTTCGGTTCTCTTTTTTTCTTCTCAGTATTAGATGAGAATTAGCATAACTGTTGAAACAAACTTTTTCCTAAATCTCCAAAATTTCTAAAATAGCATAGCTGTTGGAGATGCTATCATCTCTACCAGGTATGCTATTTATTCTCTCTCTTTTCCCAAGTTCAGAGATTTCTCCATTCTCTCTCTCTCTCTCTCTCTCTCTCTCTCTCTCTCTTTGTGTTTCTTTATTTTAGATGAGAATTTAACATAACCGTTAGATCAAAACTTTTCGTAAAAAGTTTTTAAAATAACATAATTGTTGGCAAGGTTCTAAATGACGTGAGACGTGACGTGGTAGTGAGGTCAAGCCTTATGAGTTGCGACAAGACCATGACGTTTTTAAGACGTGCCTGAATGCCGCAACACACACACACACACTTGTGTATATCAGTGTTTTGAATAATAAAGCAGATCAAATTAAATTCATATAAAGTAATAAAACCATAAAAGAAAGAAGAATCATTAATACCAAATACATAAACTTGATTAAATCTCAACTCACTACTTTCTTCAATTTTCAAAAAAAAAATCGTGTTCGACTCTTTGTGAACAAGAATGACAGTAAGTATTTACCTATTTAGCCTTTTAATCGTTAAGTTCTGCTTTTATGTTTATTAAAGTTTTAGGTCTCGTACATAATTATCATTTATCGCTCAAATTATATATTAATAAAAAAACCCACCTTACAAAATAACGTGTTACAACGGAAGTCAAGCCCTAGAGTAAAACCACAGGGGTTAACGTAGTGACGAACCCAAATCTTGACATCATAACAAGTTATTTAAAACGATGACCGTTGAAAATAATGTTATTTAATTATATAATAAAATAATATAAATATATGATAATGCGATGTCGAAAGCATTATCTTATCTTTTGATGATATATATATATATATAGTGGGAAAGTTATACGTGTTTTGTCTCTTGTTGGCTTAACTTCATTCACTTTTTGTCTGCTTTCCTTTTTTGGTTTTCTGATTAATATGAATTTTTATACCGTTTTTAACTTTTTTAAAATCAGATATTTTTATTTTCTTTAAAACGGAAGAACACAGAAGAGAGAAGGTGAAATTTTTTAAATTTAGAGAGATTATTTATTTATTATTATTATTATTATTATTATTATTATTATCAATAAGAATTCTTGAAATTATATATATATATATATATATATATATATATATATAGGGTTGGGTTCACGTGAGACCAGCCTGTTTTCGTGAGACCCGTGAGACCAGCATTTTACACGTAAACTTCACAGCAAAAACACTGTGAAGGTTTTAAAAAGTCACCTTCACAGCATTTTTGTTGTGAAGTTTACGTGTAAAATGCTGGTCTCACAGGTCTCACGAAAACAGGCTGGTCTCACATGATCCCAAGTCTCTATATATAGGGTTGGGTTCATGTAAGACCAAAGATTTTTCGTGAGATCCGTACGATCAATTTATGTTCATTGATCAATATTATAAGCTAATGATCTAATGGTTTAAAACTGCACGGTGACAATTTTGTGATTATTGAAAAGTTTCATGACAATTTTGTGATTATGAATGTTCAAATTGTAGACCTAATCCAAAGGTTGAGAATTGATCTTACGGATCTCATGAAAAACCCTTGGTCTCACATGATCACAAGTCTATATATATATATATATATATATATATATATATATACACGATACAGATAAATAATATTTAATGAAATGACAAATTGCATGAAAAAACAACGTACTTTAAGTTGATTTCTGTTTTGGGTAATGTTGGTACCTAAGATATAAAGTTTTAAGCATTAAGTACCAAGATAACCAGTTGAAGCATTAACTTGTTGCTATGCTGACGTGCGAGTGATGTAGTATCCAACTAAGTACTATTTGTTAACGTGGTTAGTGACATAATTTTTTAAATCTAAAATTAGTCTTCAACTGGTTATTTGGGTACTTAAATGTTTAAAACTTTACATCTTATGTATTAAAATGAAAGTTTTAAACGTATATTACTCAAAATAAGAATCAAGTTAAAATATGCAACTTTTTAATACAATTTTCCCTTAATGAAAGGCATTGAATGTTTTAGTAATATACATCATATGTAATCTCCAAAATGAAGAATCTGTTGAAGATTGATATAAAATTTCTATGAATATTTTGATTTTAGATTCTGTATTTTTGGAGAATCTGTTGAAGATTGATATAAATTTTCTATGAATATTTTGCTTTTTGATTCTGTATTTTTGGAGAATCTGTTGAAGTTGCTCTAGAGGGACCTGATCTGATTTTTTTTAAGTGGTGGTATTATCTGATTATAAAAGTCGAAACAACAGACATTTTTTTAAGTGGTGATATCATTTGACACATTTTCTTTCGGGGATTCTTAGAAGAATCTCTATGGCGGCCACATGTCCTTGTCCAATCATAACTCCTTTAATAAGAATATAGCTACTTGTACAAGAGCCCAACTTCTTCTCTTGGAATCATGCGAGATAAGGTTGTTTTCGTGAGACACGATTTTTACACTTGAAACCTCACAGCAAAACACTGCGAAGGTAATATTCACAGTGTTTTTGCTGTGAAGATTCAGTTTTTTTACCTTCACAACATTTTGTCATGAAGTTTTTAATTGTAGAAATCGTGTCTCATGAAAACAATCTTGTCTCACGTGAACCCAACCCTAATAATAATAATAAATTTTAAAATACAATTAATAGTTTAAAAGTATATTTACTAATTTTGAAGTGTTAATTGTTTTTTTGGGTAGTTTCTTCATACAAGTTTTATTTATTTCGTTTCAATAAATTTAATTTATAAATAAAAAAATACATTTATTTCATTATATATACGTTTAAAAAATACAAGTTTTACAACCTTGTGCATTTGTACAACCTTTGCAACCCAATTAATTCAGATATTTATATAAATGATTGGAGTTCATTTATTATGATTTGAATATTTATGGAATATGAATAGAGTTTATTAATTATGATTAATACTTTATATTAGGAAACAATTAATTGATTAAAAATTGAATGGTTGAGATGAGGGTTGTATAGGGTGTA